AGAAGTAAAAAAATCCAGAATCCAACGATCCAGAATTTGTCGCATACATGAGCCCATTTGTCTTATTTTGACTGCTATGCCAACATAAACTGTGAAAATAATGCATCTAAAGGGCCAGCACAGTTCGCAGTGGGTAACACAATTGCCTCACAGCAAGAAAGGGGTTCTAGCCTCAGCTAGGTCAGTTGGCATTTCTGTGTGGAGTTTGCATGTTCTTGTCGTGTTCGTGTGGGTTTCCTCCGGGTGCTCTGGTTTCCCCCACAAGTCCAGAGAGGTACAGGTGAATTGGGTAAGCTAAATTGGCCGTAGTGTATGTGTGTGAATGAGAATGTATGGGTGTTTCCCAGTACCGGGATGCAGCTGGAAGGTAATTCACTGTGTAAAACATGTGCTGGATAAGTTGGCGGTTTATTCCACTGTGGCGATCCTTGATGAATAAAGGGACAAAGCTGAAAAGAAAATGAATGAATTGTTGTGTGTGTGTGTGTGTGTGTGTGTGTGTGTGTGTCTTCTGCAGTAAAGATGCCTCACAAAAAGAGAAAAGGCATAATTAAAGTAATAAAGGTCTGTAAAACTTTTCTAACCCCATAGTTATTAATATGTGAAAGTTTTTAGCTTTTAAAATGGTCTGCTTCTATTTAAAGTCTTCAGAGTCACAGCATTTGCTGCCTTATCAGTTTGGAAGCATTAATATTTAAGAATCAGCAAGGAATGTGTCACTGCTCTAGCAACTTCATGCAAATGTCAACCTTGTTATGAAAAAAATAAAGTTTTTACCAAAATAGAGAATGCGTTTTTACAGCTTTGTGGTGTAGGCTTGTATTTTACAGTATTTTAATTTAAAATACTCAAGTCTGTGTTTTTAAACTATTATATTTGATTTACCAAAGTCACACAAGTGCAATTTCACATCAGTCTCATCCATAACGGAGATACGTCACATTCATAACGGAGATTTTTCCCTCATAAATGCAAAAATGTCAAATAAAATAAAATCAATTGTGTTTGTTTAACAGTGAGCCGACTCTTATCCTTTAGATTAGCATTGTTTCTTTTGGGTTGTGCAGTTTAATTCACAGAATTTCTACAAAGTATGATGTATACTGTAAACTCGCACAGTATTTTGTTTTTACAGTTTACATTTACAGATTGATTTTTTTCTGGTCCCATAACTCTGTGGTTAGTTGTTTTGGAAAATTTAAATAGTCGTTTCAAAATAATGTTAACATATACTTTATATGTGAATTTATGTTCTAAGTTTTACTGCAAATGTCACATCCATAATGCTGGAATGGCTCATTGATATTTTAGGCATCTGAAGTCTTTTTAAAGTCTTGTTCCATGTGGCCCTTTTGTATATTTTGAGCACCTCTGCCCTGATGGACACAAAGGATTTTAAATCCTAATTGCTCTCTTAATGATCAGCCATTAATACTGTATTTGTGTATGAATGAGACAAAAAGACTTTGGATATATTCTGAAGATTGTGTTTATTTAGCTTTTAGAGGTTTTAATGGTGGTTTTACTAATGATAAGACTCAAATTGTATTTCGTTTGAATCCAATTATTTAAAGACATTCATTAAATCACACATGTTAAAATATACAAAGGAAAATCAAGAATTTAACGCTAAAGGTCTAACGATTAGTATGAATAACACAGTATTTCACTGTAATATGATGAACTGTATTTTGTGTAGGACAGTTTTGCAATATGTTACTGTATTTTGAAGTTGGACTGTAAAAATGACTGTATTTTACATTAAAGATATACAATACTGTAAACACAAATGAGCAATTCCAGCGTTATAGATGTGACATTTGAAGTAAAACTCAAAACGTAAATTCACATAGTAAGTATGTTAACATTATATTGAAACATCTGTTTATATTTTCCAGAACAACTGACCATAAAGGTTATAAGATCTAAAAAATGTCAATCTGTAACATGTTTTGTATTTTGAATGAGGAAAATAAACACAAAAAAAACGTGTCATGGATGTGACCAAAAAAGAGTTTGCAGTATATCGCATACTTTGTAGAAATTCTGTGAATTAGACTGAACAAACCCAAAAGAAACAATGCTAATAATAATGCTGATTGATTTTATTTATTTTAATATTTTTACATTTATGAGGAAAAAGTGTTGTTCTGACTGTGACGTCTCTCTGTTATGGATGTGACTGATGTGACTTTGGTAAATCAAATATAATAGTTTGAAAACATTAACAGATACATTTTTGAGTAATTCTAAAGTACAGTAAAATACTTGCTTACACAAAAAAACTTAAGAGACGGTTTCTTTGGTGAAAACTTAATTTATTTCATGGCAAGGTTGACATTTGCATGGAATTGCTCATATACAGCAAGATAAATGGTGCAGTAAATATGAATACAGTACTTTTGCTGTAATTAATTTACAGTAAGGTACTGGTGAACTGCTGTCAGTAAATTACTCCGGATTCTACAGGAAATTGTTAACAGTGTAGTGTTTAAAAAAATTATACTTCACATAAATATTGTTGTGTCCTTTTGGGACTTTCTTTAAAATGAGATGTTGCATTTCAAGGGTTTATCCCTTAAATGAATTGAATATTTAGTCATCATTTACTCACTTTTTACTCATTAAAAACTTGTTTACGTTTATTTCTGTTGTTGAACACATTTACATTTAGTCATTTTATGGCTTTTATCCAAAGCAACTTACAAATGAGGACAAGGAAGCAATTTACACAACCCGAACCATACGAGCAACAATGAATAAGTGCTGTTGGCAAGTTTCAGCTATGTAAAGAAAGTGTAAGAAGCAAAACATTAGTATTTTTTTAAAGTTGTGTAGTTAGTTGTGGAGCCAGAGATTGAATTGCAGATTAGTAAGGAAAGTGGAGACTAAATAGTTGAGTTTTTAGTCGTTTCTTGAAGACAGTGAGTGACTCTGCCGTTCTGATGCAGTTAGGGAGTTCTTAGTTAGGGAGTGCAGAAAGTGATTTCTTCCCTCTTTGTGATGGAACCACGAGGCGACGTTCATTCACAGAACACAAGTTTCTGGAGGGCACATAAATCTGCGGAAAAGATGATATTTTGATTATCTAATGAATTATAATTGTTACTGGTTTTCAACATTCTTCAAAATATCTTCTTTTGTTTAAAAGTAGAACGAAACTCAGAAAGGCCTGAGTATTTTTTTTTATTTTTGGGTTAACTATCCATTTAAGATTAGGTGTGGCATTGAAGGGGGTGCAATTGGATGTGGGGGGAGGGGCGTTAAGAGCTTTAAAAGTGTTGCTCTGTGAAGGACCGAGTATCAGTAGTATGCAGACTTTGGGGATGCGTCATTGAAACCTTCATCCTAATTGATTCACTCATCGCAGAATTATTGAGCAAGGAACTGCTGTGTGTTGCTTAGAGATCCACAACAGACAAATTTGTGTCTAAAATGTAAGTAATTTATTATTGCCTTTTTGTGTTTTGAACTGATGTGTAAAATCAACGTTATACTTTACACTTCTGCTAGAATAACAGAGCTCTCGCTCATGTAGTGTTTTGGTGGCATTTTTTAAACCAAAACCTTGTTCTTTCTGACATGCTTATTATATTGTAAGGTTAGTTCCCCCTAATTATATTTTTACCTCCTTATTTATTTTCCTTCATGCATTTAATATGATTAGTGTTTAAAAGAGGATATTTTGGAGAAGTGGGTACCAGCTAACAGCATTTTCAAAATGTCTTCTTTTATGTTCAACAGTATAACTCAAATGGGTTTTGAAGTGAACCATGAGTACATGACGGCAGTGTTAAAACTTTTGGTTAACCATCCCTTTAATAAAACAGTGAGGAAATAAGAATCCACTATCTGACAGTGTTGTTTATTGTCTAAATTGGAGATGTCCAAACTAAGGCCTGCGGGCCAAGGTTGGTCCATGGCAACCTTTGATTTGACCTGCCATCCCATCTGAGAAAAGAGGGAAAATGATGGGGATGGTTTTGGGATTGTCAAATTAAATTTATGTAACCTATTCTCTGTTTGTTTCACTGTTAAAAGCTAAATTAAATGGTGTAAATTAATCAGATTTTGTTTAAAATGTCACCTGAGAATGCAGAGACTTTGGTGAGCAAAGGCAGATTCTGCTTGACTAGTGTGTTCAGCAATAAACGTCTATGTGTTATAAATGTGATTGTTTATGCTATTGCATTGAGTTATCATTTAAAAAGTAGATTTACAGTAATGTTTGTGATTTATTTTGAAATACTATTAAATAAATTAGTGAAGTAAATTAAATTATTTATTAACTTCAAATAAATTAATTACCTGTGGCAACTTTAATGTAAAATAGTTTTATATATTTACCTCCAGCTCATGGCTCTCAATGATATTTGTTGTTTTTTTCATACTAAACGTTTGGACACCCCTGGTCTAAATTATTTAAGCAAAAGCATGGTGCAAAAGCTTCTAATGTTTCTTTATTTGACAATCCTTCAGACCTTTTTTCCCCCTAAATTAGCGCATTTTTAAGGTTAATTGCCGTCTTAATGACCAGCCATCAGTACTGTATTTGTGTTTGAATGAAACTAAAGAGTGACAAAATATGAAAGGGGCAAAAACAGATGATTTGGGAGATAAAAAAAAACTTTGTTAAACGGCTTTTTAAAAATCTAATGACAACACAAACATTTATTTCCTGCATGATACCACTTATTTAAAGACATTGATTAAAAACTATTTTAAAATTTACAAAAAAAGTATACATTATGTAGTAGCTGTAAACAATAACTGAAATAACTTTGTAAAAATGTATTTAAGTGAGTGAGAATAAACGTATTGTAACTTGAAACTGTTAAGTTAACATAACTTATGTTTTTACAATTAAGTAAGATTCATTATAATGTACGGAAAATACATTTTTGTTCTATCATCATTTTTGAAACCTGTCTTTTTTCCTGTCTTATTCATTGCAGAACAGTTCTGGGTGTCTTTGGCACATTATTCTTATTTTAATTATTGTTATTAAATATTTTCTAGAGTTCATGTTTCAGCTTAACCCGTAGTACCAGAAGTATAAAACCTAAGCAACCTCTAAAAAACCTTTAAAAAAATTCTTAAGTGATTTTTTGGAAGTACTGAGACTGTGAGAGCTGGGTTATTTAGTCTGGAGTTTGAGATGATTGTATGGAACTTATTGAACTTTTCTAATAAGTTTGTCCCATTTTATTTCAGTTCTATGCTGAACGCATCTGTTTGCCTGAAACTGCAGGGGGTTCAGTAGGTGGACAAATGCAAATGTCAAAGACTTGATGACGACAGATGTTAGATCAAAGATTTGTTATCATCAAGTCTTGTAATTTGGCTTTTTATCTTGGGGAATGTCAGAGCATTTAAAACCCACAGGGAACTTGGCTCCAGTAATCTTTTTGTGTTGGTCAGCGTCTGGAAAAGAAACACCGTCTGAAATTGGTGTCCTGTTGTTTTCAGTTTAACGTGCTTTTCACAGATCATAGGGCTGAGGGTGATGGAGGGGAGATCAGCTGTGACAAATGCAAATGTTTTTATTTTAAACTTGTTCATTTCTTTTTGGCAGAATTACCATTCAACGATCACAATTCACACATGGAAATAGAGGAAAGCGAGAACATGAAGGATACAACAGAACCCTGCAGAACAGAGCATTGTGATGATACTGAAGGACAAAGAGGTTGGTAAACCAAGTATATTTTTTAGTGCCAGTCAACTTTTCCAGCAGCTCTGTTTTCCTGTACATAGAGTTTTAAAAAGTCTTTGATTAAACCAAAGCAGAGAAAAAAACATGAGTATAAGATTGTGTACTGAAGATACAATCCAGTGAAGCATAGTAGAAGACGCAGTTGAGTCCAAAATCAATAAATGAACTATTTATTTACATGTGCTGGTTGTTTCTCGGTTTATTTTAATCTATGCACACTGTATACATACTGAAAATATTGATGTATTTGAAAGTGTTTAGTGTAGATATTTTTCATAGATCTGCTACTACTGTAAAAATGCTGGGTGGTCCCACAGAATTAATTTGTGTTGGGACAACATAGAGGCATTTAGTTAACTTATTATTTTTGACAAATTTAAGTGGATTTAACATAAAACTATTAGGTTGTTGCAAGAAAACCTTAAGAATTGGGTTGTTTCAGCACATTTTAAATAAGTAGTTTGAACAAATGGCAGTCATTTTTGGAGTGAATGAATGTGCAAGATTCTGTCATTCAAAGCAATATTAATTTAGTTTTTTTGACATGCATATTTTGATATTACCTTTAATGAAGTTAGTGACCAAATTTCTTCAATCTCACTATTGGACAGTGTTTAGAAAAGTCACTTCAAAAAAGTGATTAGTTACTTATTACACAATTGAAACTGTATTTAAATTACCTTTTAAATTACTTTGTCTGTAAAATCATTTAAGTAATAAGTAATTTATTAATTACTTGACTCCGTACTACTCTTCAAAAAATGCTGAAACTACATAAAGAAATTAAGTTAATGTATTAGTTTTCACAGATATAAGTCGATTGAACATAAAATGTTTAAGTTGTCCCAAAAAGACTTGAGAATTGTGTTGTTTCAGCTCATTGTAAATAAGTTTCAACAAATAGCAAATGTCATTTTTTTGAGTTTACTTAAAATCCTTTTAAAATCCCTAAATGGAGTTGAAGTCAGAATTATTAGCCCCCCTTTGATTTTTTTTCTTTTTAAAATATTTTCCAAATAAATATTTTCACAGTATTTCTGATGATATTTTTTCTTCTGGAGAAAGTTTGATTTTGTTTTATTTCGGCTAGAATAAAAGCAGTTTTAATTTGTTTATGAACCATTTTAGGGTCAAAATTATAATCCCCTTTAAGCTATACATTTTTTCACTAGTCTACAGAACAAACCATCATTATACAATAATTGCCTAATTACCCTTACTTGCCTAGTTAACTAAATTAACCTAGTTAAGTCTTTAAATGTCACTTTAAGCTGTATAGAAGTGTCTTGAAAAATATCTAGTAAAATATTATGTACTGTCATCATGGCAAAGATCAAATAAATCAGTTATTATATATATATATATATTTTTTCTTTTTTTCTCTCTCCAAAAAATAAATCTAAAATAAATTTTTAAAAATTCTATTTATTATCATGGACTAATTGCTCATACAATTATTTGTTTTCTTATGCATGTGCAGTTGTCTTGATAAAAGTGAGCACCTTTATTTTGAAAAATCGAATTCCACCACACTGTAAAACCAAACAGTCAACTTTATCAAATGAAATGAGTGTGGTTAACTCAAAATTGACTGAAAGTTAATTCTACTCATTTGAATAGAATTTTGAACTCAGTGTTGAAGGTAATGAGTTAATTAAATACCTCATTACTTCAACTTAAATCTTTTAGTTGTTTAACTTAAATGGTTTTTAGCAATCGGTTTTCTCAAACAGTTTGAGTTGCTTTAACTTATTGGGGTTTACAGTACTCTTTTGGTTTGAGTTCTCTTCATTTATTGCGTTTTACTGTGCTCAAATTAGTTTGTTTACTCAAATAGAGTAAGTTTACAGTACTCATTAGAATTAGTTTTTAAACTCAAATGGTTTGTTGCAATCTGGTTCCTCAAATCGTTTTTTATTTGGTTTCATAGTGTACAAAATACTATTACTCAGGATTTTTTCTTCATACAAAACTGTTGAAAGTATGTACAGTAAATGTCCTAAAAATAAAAAGTAAACCTTTACTTTACTTTTTCAGTTGAAATGTAATTTAGTTAAATAATTACAACCAACACTGCTCCCGGGTAATTATGTGATGGCAAAGAAACTGAAGAGTAGACAGCAGGATGTCAATTTACCAACCCTAACTTAAGAATAACCTCATATTGGCAGATCATTCAGCATAATGCTGTTGTTACTTTGACATTAAGGAAAATAATAAAAATATATATTTTTTTATCTCATCATATTTTTCAGATCACATGGAGGGAAACAAGGAAGGAGAAACAGAAGCCAAAAAATCAGTCGCCTGTTTCCATTGCAAAAAACGATTCACATGTAAAGCGCACCTTCAGGTTCACATGAGAGTCCATAATAAAAAGAAGCAGAAAGACAGAAAAGCCACGGCAGAGAAGCTGCACACATGCGATAAATCTGGGAAAAGTTTTGCATATAAAAGCAGCCTTAAGAAACACATGATCAACCACAGTGGAGAAAAGAAACACACATGTGATCAATGTGGGAAGAGTTTTCCATTTAAAGTATACCTTGAACAGCACATGCTCATCCACACCGGAGAGACGCTGCATGAGTGTGATCAATGTGGGAAGAGTTTCCGAAGCAAAGGAGAGGTAAAGATACACATGCTCATCCACACTGGAGAGAAGCCGCATAAGTGTGATCAATGCGGGAAGAGTTTCCGAAGCAAAGGAGAGGTAAAGATACACATGCTCATCCACACTGGAGAGAAGCCGCATGAGTGTGATCAATGCGGGAAGAGTTTCCGAAGCAAAGGAGAGGTAAAGATACACATGCTCATCCACACCAGAAAGAAGCCGCATGAGTGTGATCAATGTGGGAAGAGTTTCCGAAGCAAAGGAGAGGTAAAGCAGCACATGAGCATCCACACCGGACTGAAGCCGTACAAATGTGAAGAGTGTGGAAAGTTTTTTGCTCAAAAAAACAATCTTCAGGTGCACATGAAAGTCCACACTGGAGAGAAGCCGTATCGATGTGATCAATGTGGGAAATGTTTCCCATACAAACAAAGCCTTAAACTACACCTGGAAATCCATGCCAAGGGGAATCCGTACACATGTGATGAGTGCGGGAAGAGTTTCAAAACCTGTTTACAATTCAGGAGCCACATGACACTCCACCCTGAATACAAGCCGTACAAATGTGATCAATGCGAGAAGAGTTACGGGAGAGAAGACCACCTTCAGAGACACATGAAGCTTCACACGGGGGAAAAGCCGCACAAGTGCGAACACTGCGGAAAGAGTTTCCCGATGAGAGATTTGCTTAGGAGCCACTTGATGGTGCACAGAGAAGTAAAGCCGTACACATGTGATCAATGCGGAAAGGGTTTTACACTCAAAAAATGCTATAATGAACACATGAATATTCACACTGGAGAGAGGCCGTACACATGCGATCAATGCGGGAAGGGTTTCCCTTATGAACAGAGTCTTAATCTGCACATGAGATTTCACCGAGGAGAAAAACCCTTCACTTGTGATCAATGCGGCCAGAGCTTCTCCCAGAAAGGAGCCTATAACATCCACATGAAAATCCACACTGGAGAAAAGCCGTATACCTGCGATCAGTGCGGGATGAGTTTCAGACATGGATCCTCTCTCAAATTACATATGACGCACCATACTGGAGAAAAACCATTTCACTGTGATCAATGTGATAAATGTTATAGTACGGCATTATTCCTGAAGAACCACATGAAAACTCATAATAAGGATCAAATTTACTCATGTTTAACTTGTGGAAAGACTTTTAATCTGTTGGGGTGTCTGAGGATGCACGAGAAAAGACACACCCTGGTGAAGCCTTTTATGTGCTTTGATTGCGGAAAGTGCTACTTTACAGATACAGAGCTGAAACAGCATCTGTCAGTTCACTCTAATGAAAGACCTTACATGTGTTCACTCTGTTTTAAGAGTTTCAGCCGAATGGACAGCTTGAAAAAACATGAGAAGACCCATAACAGGAAAATACAGAACCACCACCATGATGAGGGAGAGCATGACCAAACGTCTTTATTAAAGGGATAGTTCATCGAAAAATTTTAATTCTGTCATTTACTTTCACTTCACTTGTTACAAACCTGTTTGACTTAATTTCTTCTGTTCAAAACAAGACATTTTAAAAATGTTGAAAACCTGTAACCATTGACTTCCATAGTATTTGTTTTCCCTACTATAAAAGGTTTTCAGCGTTCCTGAAAATGATTTGTTGTTAAAGACAGACACTCATAGAGGTTATATAAGTAGTTAGTAAACTGTCATTTTTAAATGAACTAAGCCTTTAATATATTTGCTTTTAAATATAAAACTGGCTTTGTTTTCATGAATTTCTTGACACAGCTCTTTGGGATAATTGTCAATTGTGCCCGGTTAACAATTCTCTGCTTTTTATTTTAACTTTTGAATGTGAGAGATCTTTCTCATTTGTTTTATCTGGTTTTTAATATGCTTCGATTGTTGAACTCAGTTTTTATTGTCTGTTTTATGTTTTTTTTTTATTTTAGATCAAGAATAAACAGCTGTATAATGTGAATAAGAAGCAGATTTAGAAAATCATGCAACTTGTATCTCAGGATAAGAATAAAGTTCTTAAAAGCCTACTGTTGGTCTGTAATCTTCAAAGTGGGAAACCTCTCAGGATAACTTCTTGATGCAGTCTGAGGACAGTCCTTTATGAGATGTTGAAGTAATATGACTTAACGTTCAATCATCACTGCCACAGTGAATGAAAACAGTATGACTTAAATTTTGTGAAAAGTTGAACAGACTGTGAGAGTACATTACAGTTTGATGATTAGGATAATATCAGTGTTAGTGTTCATGATATGATCCAAGAAATCTGGCAAGAACAGTTTGATGGCACTAAGCTAAATTCATCAAACTCTCACAGCATATCTGGCCATTAATGATGAGTGGTTTTATATTAATGGTTTATTACTTTGAATACTTTGGCTGCTGGCAAACCGATGTGCTGTTGTCAGTGTGATGTAAAAATCCCAAACATAAATGTGTTTAAACTTTGCCGGAGATGCAGCCACTGTTGCAGTTTTATGTAATTCTAACAAAAATGTGGATAACAAACAAAAACGGCGTCACTTGTAGGAAAATCCAGAGTCTTTGGCCTGCGTTTTGTGAACACATTGGTGTGAATCAGACCAATGATCTAGGAGGAGTAAAGTCTTTTCAAAGAAAGCATTTACAAGTAAAAAAAACTGCATAAAAAACATGCTGGAATAGTTGGAGGTTCATTCCACTGTGGCGACCTCTGATAAATAAAGACTAAGTTAAAGGAAAATGAATGAATGAGAGCTGTCACTGGAGCGACAACTTAAAAGTTACAGATTTGTACCCATGAATTTAAGTTTTCATGAATTCCTTCACACTATCTCTCTGGGACAATTAGTCTTTTATGCAAGCAGTTGTCTACCAAACGCTTTTGTTAATTAAATTTGTAACTTGTTAAAAACTCTCTGCTTTTTCTTTTAACTTTTGAATGTGAGAGATCTTTCTCATTTGTTTTATCTCATTTTTAATATTCTTATTATTGTTAAACTCAGTTTTTATTGTATATTTTATATATATATATTTATTATACAATAAGAATTAACAACTTTGTAATGTGACTATTCGACAGATTTAGAAAATCATCCAACTTGTATCTCAGGAAGAGAATAAACTTCTTAAAAGCCTACAGATGGTCTGTAATCTTATTTAAAATGGAAAACAAACCTCTTAGGATGACTTCTATATGCAGTCTGAGGACAGTCCTTTCCGAGGTGATGAAGTAATGTGTCAAAATCTTCAATAATCACTGCCAAAGTGAATGAAAACAGTATGACTTAAATTTTGTAAAAAGTTGAACCGACTGTGAAACTACATTATAGTTTAATGAATATTCTTTAGCATAATATTAGTGTTATTGTTCTTGACATGATCCGAGAAAACTGACAAGATTATGATGGCACTAAGCAAAATTCATCAAACCCTCACATCATATCTGGCCATTATTGATGAGTGGTTTTATATTAATTGTTCATAACTTTTAACACTTTGGTGACGCTGCTACCAAACCAAGCGTGACGTGACAATCACAAACATAAATGTGTTTAAACGTTACAATCTCTGTTGCGGTTTGACATTATTCTTACAAAAATGTGGATAACAAACAAACTTTTCCCCTTTTGACAAAATCCAGAGCCTTTGGTCTGCATGTTGTGAAAAAGAGATGAGATCAGGGATGGGCAAACTCGGTCCTGGAGGGCCGGTGTACAGCATAGTTTAGCTCCAATTGTAATTTGCTGTGAAAAGCTGATGCATTTATATATACAGTAATTTGTGGATGTGTGTAAACGTAACATTATGTAGTGCATTTATTTATTGCCCAGCAGGCACACAACATCATAAAACATCATCTTCTCATCAGTCACATGCATCTAAACAGTCTCTGGGTCATTGCGTGTAAAGATTTTTTACATCTTCTTGGACACTTTTAATGCTTCAATCAGTTTGCTGCAATTATAAATCGCCCATGTCTTGAGGTAGTTCAGTATGTGATTTACCTTCTATGTGCAATTTGATTGGACAGGAATCACAGCACTAATTTCTCTAATCCCCATAGGCAAGAAAAAATTAAATAGTAACTGCAGATTGAAGGAAAGTAGTGGAGTAAAAGTAACAATACTGCACTAAAAATCAAGGTAAGGTAAAAGTACACATTTATAAAATTACTTAGTAAAGTGCAATTTCTGAGGAAAAACTACTCAATTACAGTAATTTGAGTATTTGTAGTTTATTACTTAACACCACTGATGATCATCAGCACAACTGAAAATTTGGACAATCAGAGGTTTGCAGACTCCTAATTAGCTTTGTCAATGCTCAGACTACACTCTATCTGCACTTAAAAATGATGACTGTGCGTCTTCAAACTACCCGTTTAAAATGAGCTGAAACAACACAATTGGGTGTATGCCGAACCATGCTAACAGGACTTTTAATTTGCCAGTAACCTGGGTTAAGCGCTTCCTGTGAACTGTTTGCATTGCAAAATCGGCATGTTTAAGGTCTGTTTTCTTTAAAAATCAGCGATTTCCACTGGCTGAGTGATGTCCGATATAAAGTGGGTTTCGGATTGTACAAGAAGCACTGCATTAAATTACATTTTCCCCCGCCATGTCATTAAAATATGAGCATTTATTTTACCCCAGTATTTTCAATAGAGCGTCTGTGCTAGCCTGCCGATTCTGACGGGCGAGTGTGTGTAAACGGCTTTTTGTCTCGTTCTGCGCTTGAGCAACTAAATGAATGCCAGAGTCTATTTAACTGATTGTATTTTAACTACATTACAACATCGATGTTGTAAAAGGTATCGTTTAAAATGGAAAAAAACAAACAATGACAGGAAACCGGAAGTTTATCAGCATGGAAACAGCACTAGCTCGGCATATACCCTATTCTTGTCATTTTCGTTGGCTAATTTTAATATTTGTTTTATGTTCAGTCTACTTAAATTTGTAAACCATTAAGTTAACTTAAGCATTTTGTGTTGGGACTACATGAAGGAATTGGTCCAACTACCTGGTTTAGGGATCTGTAGTACACAGAATGCTCTGAATGGGATTGCATTAAGAGAGGGAAATGTTGACAATAAAATTAATCTTATGGTGTTTAAAATTAATAGAAAGACATATTTTAGAGTTTAATCTACACTTTAGTTTGAAGGTTTAGAAGAGTTTCATGTATGGCTTTGAGTTTTGAGGGTAGCACCTTGCAGAAGCTGATGCTTAATAGACATACATGATATTATCAGACCTTTGAGTTTAAGTTAAATAAAAATACAAATGTATTTAAACTTTTATTTGTTAAAAGCATGTTAGACCAACTCAATTGCATTTAATTGTGTAAATAGTTTTTTTAGTTGGTGCTAAACAAATTTATTGGATGGAAATCTTGCCCTCAATTAAATTGAGTTCATCCAATGAGTTATATTTTTGAGTGTGTGTGTGTGTGTGTTTGTGTCAAATTTCACAAGTTTCAACAATACATGTACAATTATAATAGCAACACCACACAACAGGGTATACACACCTTCAGTATATGATAGTAATTTTCTAAGATGATCAAAGATGTTGGGTCATAAAAAAAGTTTGTAAACTTGGATACTCAAATTACCACTAAAATCCCAGTTCTGGTTCCAAGAAGTCAGCAGCCAACATTTGTTCAAAAACCATTATCGCCACTAGCATAACACATTTCTCAAGCTTCAATTTTCATGCTATATAAATGCATATTTACTAATTCAATCCCGAGTGGATAAAGCTAAGTAGGCTACTTGTGTAAACGGGTCTGAAATGTTTCCATCGAAAACACTTGGATTGAATTGCCTTTATAGTGTGAACACTAAAGTTGTTAACTGCTTTTGAATAGCCACTAAAGGTGATCAAATTTTGGCACTTAATTTTTATTCTTGTTGAATTGCCAGTCAAGTAAGCCTTTTGTTTATTTAATAGTTGTGAATTGAGATTCAGATTTTTTTATTTCAGATGTTACAGAGTAGCTGATGCTGCTTTTCACACCAAGGGAATTGCTTTACATTTGGAGAGAGTTAAATTTACATTATGCAAATGTATAGAATTGATAAGAATACCCAAGTATGCATACGAGTATAACAATATATATATATAATGCCACAAAATATTTGGTGGATCAAAATAGTTCATATTGTTCTATCATTATTATTTCTTATCTTTTATTTATTCAGTATTCATTTATTATTAATACATTTTATATTACAATGTTATTTTATGACATCAAGAAAGTCGCTGGTTCAAGCCTTAGCTGGGTCAGTTGGCGTTTGTGTGGAGTTTGGATTATTCTCCCCGTGTTTGTGTGTGTTTCCTCCAGGTTCCTCAAGTCCAAAGACATGTGCTATAGATGAATTTAATAAACTAAACTTACTACATTTCTCAGTGATGGGTTGCGGCTGGAAGGGCATCCGATGGGTAAAAACATTATATATAAGTTGGCGGTTCATTCCGCTGTGGCGACCCCAGATTCATAAAGGGACTAAGCCGAAAAGAAAATGAATGAATGAATGAAAAATTGACCACAATTGTATGACCACTTTCCCGATTTTTGTCCTATAATTATTCAATTAGTGTATTTTGTGAGCAATGTGAGCACCTGCAAACTTTTTGGAAAGAATTAATAGGTGTGATCTCTAAAACTATTGGTAGAGAAATCCCTGTTTGCCCTAAAATCTGTATTCTTGATCTTTTCCCACCTGCCTTATTGCTGAAGTCATATGAACAGAAGTTTTTAAATCTGTGTCTATTGCATGTGAAATGCCAGATTGCCATTCACTGGAAAAGTATTCATGCTCCATCTTTTTCTCTCTGGATTAAGGAAATGTCTTCATGTAAAGCAAAGGAAAGACTGATTCAATCAAACAAAAATAGCACATATATTACAAGATTTAGGACTTCTGCGTTTAATTTTTAAATAAGAATGGACTTACCATTTAGTAATCCCAAACAATGTGACTGTAATAATGTGCACTGTGTTTGTAATGACTAACTTGAATATATTTGTAAATTTCATTGGAATGCATGTGTTGAAATGTCATAATGGTATTTTTTATTTATTATTTCTTTTTTACAAATTTGCCCTTTTCATTTTTATTATTATTTTATCTTATTATAGTTCATTTTTTATTTTCCATTTATTTGTTTATGTATTATTTGTTCGCATGTGAATACATACTTTTTTATGGCTCTGTCAGGATGGGATGGGTGTTCTTTGATTAGTATTTGGTTACTAATACATTATGTATGTATCACATTTTTTCTGAAACAATAAAAGTGTTTAAAAAACATAACATGTACATCATGGGCTTCACAAAATGCTTTCATTTGAGTAATGATTTGTTCATTTTTATTATTTATATTTGCATCATTCATTCATTCATCATCATCAATTCATTTTCCTTCAGTCCCTTATTTATCAGGGGTCACCACAGCAGAATAAACCGCCAACTATTCCAGCATATGTTTTGAGCAGCAGATGCTCTTCCAGCTGCAACCCAGTACTGGGAAACACCCATACGCTCTCACATTCACGAGCACATTCATACACCACGGCCAATTTAGTTGAGTCAATTCCCCTAAAGCGCATGTCTTTGAACTGTGGGGGACACCAGAGCACGCAGAGGAAATTCACGCCAACATGGAGAGAACATGCAAACTCCACACAAATCTGCCAACTGGCCCAGCCGGGACTCGAACCAGCGACCTTCTTGCTTCAATGTTGCATTGCAAAATAACATCAAAATGTACAACATGTAGATATAATTTAGCCTGATTTGTGGGTATGGTCTATACTATGAGATGTAAACATAGAATAAAATGTATGGTCATACTTTATTATTGTCTATGTAAATAAGCATACTGCATTAGAAGGTGTAGTACTACAATAAGTCAGGAAAAACGTGGAAGAATATGTTAAGGATAATATTAGGTATTTCGTTTGTTAAAGATAAAATCTTTGACAATAATTATGTGTTTTAATACTTTGCTGGTATTTTACATGATTGTTTTGAGTATGCTACACACTCTGACCATAAATCTCTCTTTTGCCAAGAATGATTGAAATACAGGCAGCCAATCGAACATCACCGAGCTACATGCAGGCAGCCAATCGACATTCACTGAGCCTCATACAGGCAGCCAATCGGCATTCGTTGAGCCATGCAGCCAGCCAATCGGTATTCGCTAAACAATACACAACGTAGGCAAATGTCCCGCCCAAGGTATGGCTAACGTTACATGTTATAGAATTATTATCCTTATGTTATGGGTGTCGTGCGTCTGTTTATTTAAAGTAAGTGTATTATTATACGTGAGTGTGATATAGAGAATTTTTACCACCAATTACCTCGCGGTTTGACCTGCTTTAACTCTTGTAATCAATGCTAATATAAGTTACGTAGCATTAGGTAACTTAAATGTTTACCATAGATATAAACACCTTAACGTTATTTATAGTTGCTTATGCTATGAATGTAACGTTTCCTCCCATTTATATTTCGATGTAATTTTTTTGGCTAAGTGGTTATTTAAGAGATTTCCTAAAATAGTAAACAGCTTAATGCTCATATCACAGCTGATAAATCTTTCATATGTGACAGATAAAACTACCTAATGATGATTTAACATATATTTAACAGCTAGTTTGTTTTCTTTTATGTATCTGTTCAACCGTGTTTCCCTTTCTATATTTTCATCATGCATATTTTTAGACCTTTGCTATATCACTTATACAGTTATTGTGGTGACAAATAAACAGGTTACTCCCATTCTTCAACCAGTTCGATATGAGACTGCTAAATGAAAATGACTTTTTACTATAATATTATAAAAGTACCTTTCTCCATGTTTGTGACATACACAAGATATGTATTATGATGTTATAATAGCATTTAGTTTTTCATTGATGAACCATGTTTATCAAACAAAATAAACAAGTTAGGTTAGCCAACAGTTAATGTTTTTTTGTTTGCTTCTTACAAATTTGTGCATTAGTTTTTTTTTTTTGTTTTTTTTATTCTTATTTTCTTAATTTATTCCTATTAATAGATAGATAAATTGGAGATAGAATGTGTTTATTAATGGAAGAAAACCTTAACTGAAGCATTTCCTCCCTTGCAGATCTGCTCCAGTCATGAAGCTCATCCTTTTTCATTAAAGCTCCTCCATCTGTAATGAAGCTCCCCCTCTTTCCATGAAGCTCCTCCTCTATCAGTTCATATATAAATACTGGAAAACATGAGTGATCCAGAACCCTGCAGAATTAAACAGGAAGATTCTGAAGAACAAATAGGTTTGTGTTTATTAGCAATTCTTTAATAAGGGTGTTGAAGAACAATAAACATTAAAGGTGCCATATACTGCATTGATTTAATAAGTTAAATTATGCTCTTATATCTACCTAGTAGGTATATGGCTTAGATAAGTTTAGAAATGGTTTTATATGCTCATTTATTCCCATAAATTATCGCTAGAATCAGAAGGTCCAAATTGACCTTTTTTTGGAAAGGTTGTGAATATTAATGAGCTGTGCTCTGACAAATGCAGCCTGCTTGCTCCCTCCCTCTCTCACACACACACAAACATACAATAAGGCTTAAATGATAGTTAAACTAAAAAAAAGAGACAGGCAGAGATGTATTGTGTTGTATTTTAAAGTTATGATGTGAAAGAAAACACAACCAGGAATTAATATCAACCTCTGCGGTAAATTGTGGTCTACATTCATTGCTACATTCTACACTATGTACACACTTATATTCAGCTGTCTACATTTGTTTGTTGAAATATATGCAGCAACGTTCTTAATAAACATGATAAATTAACAAAACACACAATTAAGCAAATCTTATGCCTCTTCAGGGTAGGGATGCAACGATTATAGATTTTAGTTGTATGATTATAGTCTGAATAATTATCATGGTTTCACGGTTATCACAATTATTATGCATTTATTAAATTCAAAACACTACTAGTTTAGAAAATCACATGAAAACTCCTTTTATTTTAAATTGTTATTTATTGCTGCTCAATAACTAAATAATAATACAAAAAATAATAATAAAACAAATATTAGTCTATTTCTCTTTGGACTTAAAAATGAGTGAAAACAAGTTTTTGGCATTTAAACATAAATAATAATTTTACACTGAAAATAAATGACAAAACAATGAACAAATAAATTAAAAAAGAATAAATAAAAATATTTGTCTAATGTAAATCTGAGCATCATATTTGCTAATTATTTCCCTTTTAAATTGAACAAATATAGTCAAAGGCTGCTGAACCTCTGTCTGAAAGGCACTTTTGATCGACTATAACTTGTTAGGTTTTTTCATTTTATTCTTTTTTGTCTTTGAAGTAGAAATGTGTATATTCCATACAAAGTGTGAAGCTGAACGGTCAGTTCTTGTAAGGTGAATTGCGGTGTGCTTGTGCCATTCTTTTACCTAGGTGCACCTGAAAAGCGTGAGGGTGTTGTGCCGCGTGTGCACTCCCAATATGCACGCAAGAAAAGAAATAACAAACGTGCACGTGCAAAGACATAACATGTGAACGGCCCTTAGGTAATAGCCTCACCCATAGTGAATCCAGTGTGCGTGGGTATTAGCCTCAGTATACAAACTTGGAACTTTACACTAGCGCACAGTTGGCATAAGTTGGCGCAACTTTAGTTGCAGCAGTTTGTTCTGTGTCAAAACGCGGTGTTGAGAAGCCTTTATGATTAATTAACCATGACAAATTAAATCGCAATTAATAGTGAAATCGTTCAATCATTGCCTCCCTACTTCAGGGTGGAGCTGAATATATTTACAATCTGTATGTATATCCTGTGTTTTGTGTCAGACAAGCATATGAACGGATGGCTCATGGAGTCGATGCATTGTAATGTATAAAAAACAATCTGTGTTTCTCCTTTTCAAAATAAGAGTCCCACATAAATAGTAAGTTTAATATAATCTTAGATAAACCTAAAAAGAACTAATGGAGCAAAATGGTAAATGTTGTATTACAAGGAAACCTTGAGGTGTATCAAACGCAGCCTTAGGCGTTCATAATAATAATTCCAGAGCAAATTATCAGTGTGCTTTTTGGCTGGTGATCTCCTGATAATGTGTCAGCTTTTCAGGTCCAGATGACATAGAACGTGACCTAAAGTACATGCAAATTTGGAGGTCGTGCCCCGTGAGTCACGCAACAGTCTGTTTTGTGTTCCGATTTTTCATCGAGCTTTACACTCATGGAATTTTCATGAGAACAAGAGAACAATTGTGTTTGAGACTCACTGTATGGGAATTTCTATTATTCACCTTTAAAGGGCCATGACACCCCCCACTTTCGGTTAAAGTCTACTTTAGAATTTTTTCAAAAGATGCATGATTAATGGGCGTGGAGCTCCGCAAGCATCAGGCAGGAGTGGGCGCGGCCTGCAGGGGAGAAGGGGAGCGAACAACTGTTGATGTCAGTTAGCTCACAAAATGAGACAAACCGTGAGGAGACGCATGAGTTTATAGTTTACAAAGTTAAAATGCAAAGAAAAAAACTGGAATTTAATGCCCTACTACATTTGTTATTCGTAATCTCATATACAGACAACCACAATTTATATCATTATAAAGATAATCGTGTTCATATAAACACTATAAATAAGGACTTTTCCCTCAATCCCCGGGTCTGAACCATAGATCTTAAATGCAGACTCAGTGCAGCAGGTCTCCTGACCTGCCTATTTTAACCATTAGTCCAGCTGGTAATCGGAGGATTTAGGCAAACACAGCAGCACGGCGACGTGTCTGAATGTGAATGAACTCCTGATACAAGACAACATCCGCCATTCTCCAATTCTTGTACTGCTCTCCCGACAAAAATGCTAGCATCACACACACAGCTTTGCTGTATGATCGGCCCTGACAGGATCGCGGGGAAAAACATGCAACAAACCCCGTGGATCATGGAAACAAACACATACAAGCCTTCATAAACGGCTACTGTGTGCCGTGGGTCCGTGAACCACAGCTTGAGTTTGGCACTGGTCTGGCAGGTCTGCCTCTGCCTTGCCTTCGGAAAGCACGTGCTGTCGTGCTCTCATGAATAATTAAGTAGCCGGCTCTTCTCATAGGATAAGAAACCTCCGCTATGAATAATAATGAGAAACCGACGCGTCATCATTGTACTTGCAGTACTGCGCTACGTCACCCATTTTGATCCCGCCCCAAAAATCATTTTAAACCCGGAAGCGGAAATTAGCTGACAAAAGCTCAAAATTATCCAGTTTTCCCCACAATGAAAGCTGACAGATGCTAACATTGTCTTAACTGATGCTCAACACACACAAATCTGTTAATATATAAAAAAAAAGTTCTCCAGGGTGTCCTGAACCTTTAGAAGCTTTGAACAGTATTAACTTGAATCTTTTCTTTCATTTGATTTCAGATCTAATTGAAGCGAATGAGGGGAGTGAAGAGGAGAAACAAGTCGAAGCGGTGAAAATCCCTCATTTACAGACTTGTGGTATTTTTTTTATTGAAAGGAGAGAAAAGAAATGCTTCACCTTCACTCATTGTTGGAAGAGTTTTAGGCGACCTAATAATCACATCACAATCCACAACGGAGAGAAAGCATTCACATGCGATCGATGCGGAAAGAGTTTCACACGCAAAGAAAGGCTTAAAGAACACACGAGGATCCACACTGGAGAGAAACCCTTCGCTTGTGCTCAGTGTGGGAAGAGATTCGGATGCTCATCGAACCTTAAACAGCACATGATGACTCACACTGGAGAGAAACCACACAAATGCGATCAATGCGGCAAGACATTTTTGAAGCCGTCAGATCTGATCAGCCACCTCAGAGTTCATACAAACGAGAAGCCTTATTCGTGTTCGGTGTGTGGAAAGAGTTTCACACATCAACAGTATTTAAGAAAACATCAGAAGTTCCACTCTGGGGTGAGAGAGTACGTGTGCTTCGAGTGCGAGAAGACTTTCATTAGGGTTGAAGAATTGAAACGGCACCAGAGGATTCACACTGGAGAGAAGCCTTACAAGTGTTCACACTGCGACACCAGTTTCAGTCAGATACAACACCTCAGAACACACCAGAGGATTCACACCGGAGAGAAACCTCACAAGTGTTCACACTGCGACAAGAGATTCACTCAGTTAGGAGTCCTGAAGACACACGAGAGGATTCACACCGGAGAGAAACCGTACACGTGTGATCAGTGCTTCAGGAGTTTCACATATTCATTACAGCTCAAGAAACACATGAAAATCCACACTGGAGAAATGCGGGAGATGTCGGAAGAGAGTGTTGATGGTTGAGTGTGGAAAGTCTATCCATTTGTCTTCTATTTGATTCTGTTATTATTTAAAAAAGTTTCTGAGGTCATGGGCGTTGTTAGGCCTATTTTAGGGGGGCTGTAGCCTATAATTCTATTCAGCATCTCAAAAACTCTTACGATTAGCTCATAAACTAAACACTAAATTATCGCCTGTCCCCTTTAAATTTGATATGAAAACGGTCGAAGAATCCGGCTCCTCCCCGTCTTTCGTTTTTCATTTGATCAGCAAACCACAGCTGTGCAGAGATATTATAGATACACTTGTATAACACGTACACCAATGTCATGGAGGAGCAATCGGGTTTCCCATCTACAGTTTCATCGGTGCTCACCTCATAATCACAGCTGTTTCCTCGAAAAAGTAGCATTTATTGAACATTCATTCATTCATTTTCTTGTCGGCTTAGTCGCTTTATTAATCCGGGGTCGCCACAGCGGAATGAACCGCCAACTTATCCAGCAAGTTTTTACACAGCGGATGCCCTTCCAGCCACAACCCATCTCTGGGAAACATCCACACACACATTCACACACTATGGACAATTTAGCCTACCCAATTCACCTGTACCGCATATCTTTGGACTGTGGGGGAAACTGGAGCACCCGGAGGAAACCCACGCGAAGGCAGGGAGAACATGCAAACTCCACACAGAAACGCCAACTGAGCCGAGGTTTGATCCTGCGACCTTCTTGCTGTGAGGCAACAGCACTACCTACTGCGCTACTGCCTCGCCTCATATCGAACATTTCGCTATTTAAATTTCAAAATGAACTACCAAAATAAAACACATTAAAGTGCCTGTGGCATTAACTATACCATACAGTCTTGCTCAGAAAGGATTAAACACAGTGACAGAACCACTTAGTGAATGTACTCATTTAAACTGCCAGAGTCACTGTTAGAGATGGAAACATCAAGTGTTGTGGTATTTTAAAAAAGCCTTATTTATTATGAATCAGATCATGAAATGTGTGAATTAGCCTGTAGTTTTAATGTTTATATATGTTTAAATTCACAGTTTAATTAGAAAAGTGGCTGTTTTGATTTTTTTTAAACATGGAAGCAAAAAATGTACTTGATTATAGAAAGTGGTTTTTACTACAGTAAACAGGTGTTTTAAGCCTATTTGGCTCATTCACAACTCAAACGGCTATCTAAACATAATAGTTATAATAACTCATTTCTAATAACTGATTTATTTTATCTTTGCCATGATGACAGTAAATAATGTTTTGCTAGATATTTTTCAAGACACTTCTACAGCTTAAAGTGACTTAAAGGCTTAACTAGGTTAATAAGGTTAACTAGGCAGGCTAGGGTTATTTGGCAAGTTATTGTATTAAGATGGTTTGTTCTGTAGACTATCGAAAAAATATAGCTTAAAGGGGCTAATTATTTTGACCTTAAAATGGTTCATAAAAAATTAAAAAACTGCTTTTATTCTAGCCGAAATAAAACAAATAAGACTTTCTCCAGAAGAAAAAATATTATCAGACATGCTGTGAAAATTTCTTTGCTCTGTTAAACATAATTTGGGAAATATTTAAAAAAGAAAAAAAAATTCAAACAGGGTTTAATAGTACTGATTGCAACGTTATGCATGTATGTATGCATGTATGTATACACACACAATTTAGTTTATCCAATTCAACTATACCCGCATGTCTTTGGACTGTGGGGGAAACCGGAGCACCCAGAGGAAACACACACAAGTTTGAGGAGAACATGCAAACTCCACACAGAATTGCCAATTGACCCAGCAGGGGCTCAAACCAGCGGCTTTCTTGCCGTGAGGCGATCGTGCACCCCACTGCGCCGCTGTGACGCCACAGGTTGATATATGCAAGTGATTCATTTGATTCATCTTTAAAGGATTTATTCATATGATTCCTTTGGTTCCTTTTTATCTAAATTCAATTGTCCTATAAAATGTAAAACTCTACGAAATACACACACAGATTGTAGGTCTACAGTAGATTATCATGAACCCTCCAGCACAGCAGGTGTCAGTACAAACCCGTTTTATTGATGTTAAAGCCCCAAGAAGAAAACGCGTCTGACAGGGAAAAAAAAGTGTTGCGACAGATGATGACCGTTGACCAGTGCGTTGATTTCCAGCACTGTAACTCTCCTGAATTATTTTGTTTGGTAAAATGAGCACCATTGTCCTCATTAAAAGGCTCGACTGACGTACCTGTAGGAAGGCGTTATTGTTGTTTGCAGTAGTTTTCCTCATCAGGTGTGATGGCGGAGCGAGGAGCTCATTTAACCACAGCTGCCCCGGCTGAAGATCGACCCTCAGTGTTTGAGGTTTTAGCGCAGGACTCTTTAATGACCGCTGTCAAACCCGCTTTACTGCATGCTGTCAAGGTATGCTCGCTTTTTCATCATACTGTACTCCTGCATTTGTACTCCTTGAGTTTTGGACTGTGACGATAAATAGCGCATGGATAAAATAAATAGTCCATTTTCCCATATTATGCTCCATCGTTTACTTTGTGGCTTCTTTTTTACGGTAAAACTATCAGAATTTATGTAGGCGCATTATTACACGCCATTACGGGGATGCTGACTGAAACATCAATGACAGCATCGTGAGGAAGTTGCAATCAAATACAGTGTTTAGCAATGAGGCGAAAACAGTAAGATCAATATGAAACTACGTAAAGCGTCATTAGGAGGTAAAGCAAAAAATTGCTATTATTGGGCAGGGTTTCACAGGAATATAAGGATCCCTAGATAGTATGTCAAAGAAAGAAGATCAAAAGGAACTCAATTTAGGGCAGGTGTAAAATGTGCCTGTCTGGTTTCTTCATAAAGACTATGAGTACACTTGTAAAACACTAGTGTAATAAATGTGTCCAAAACATTATTTGGAATGTATTTCCTTTGTATTATTAATAATAATCTATTTAAAATATTACTTGTAGAATGATTCCTTTCTATTAAGGTAAAGTACAGTAAATGTATTATTTATACGTGTATATTAATTACATATATACAGTTCTCAGCATATATGAGTGCACACCTCACAGATCTCTCAGTTAAATTCACATTTTCAATAGGATGCTTTACAATATTTGTGCAAATATATTAGATTAGTCAGTTCTGAAGCCAAATTTGGAGCTAATCTAACAAAAAACTTATTACAGTCCAAAATTGGTACATACAAATGTATGTTTGGGAAAAACCATTAAATAAAGATAAAAAAGAGAAAAAATCAAGAGAAACAAAAAAATCTATAATATTTTGTTAAAATTTTGTAATTTGTTTATATTTTCTGCAATATGTCCCATAAATAATGTATCGTCCTTCCATTTCTAAAGATGTTCGATGACTAAAGCATTATTTCAATAAACATATCGGTTATGTACCAAAATATATGACCGTTATTCTCTTAAAAATGGATTAAAATATTAATTTTGCAAATGGGGTGTACTCATTTATGTTGAGCATGATGTATATATATATGTGTGTATGTATATATATATATATAGTGTACGTGAGTGCTGTAAAGGTATCAAAATGTAAAATTGTGTCGTAAAATCTAAGGTCTGCTGCAATTAACACTATTGGTGTGTCTAGCGTAATAACCCCAGGGGTCCCAATCCAATGGAAAAAGAATTAAAAGGCTAGAGCCTTTTTTTTGCATGTTGTTATTTTATGCAACTCATTCATTTTCTTGTCGGCTTAGTCCCTTTATTAATCCGGTGTCGCCACAGCGGAAGGAACCTCCAACTTATCCAGCAAGTTTTTACGCAGCGGATGCCCTTCCAGCCGCAACCCATCTCTGGGAAACATCCACACACACATTCACACACACACTCATACACTAAGGACAATTTAGTCTACCCAGTTTACCTGTATCGCATGTCTTTGGACTGTGGGGGAAACCGGAGCACCCGGAGGAAACCCGCGGGTTTTGCAGGGAAAACGCAGGGAAAACATGCAAACTCCACACAGAAACGCCAACTGAGCTGAGGCTCGACCCAGCGACCTTCTAGCTGTGAGGCGACAGCACTACCTACTGCACTACTTCTTCGATTTGATGCAACTAATAAATACTGTTTTTATCTTCTGTAGGTTATGGCTAAAATATGGTTATTCTAATAGTTTAATAACATATATGATATTTTTGGAAATCACCAAGCAACCCCTCCTCATTGTCTCATGACCCCCACTTTGGGAACCACTGGTGTATACTGCTAGCTCCAAGTAAAGCCAGCAGGCATAAGTCTCATTTAAAGAGATGGTATCAGATTGGTTTATGGTTTCACAGATGCCAGAATTTTTGCAGTATCAGCAAGTATTCCTGATACTAGTATCGGTATCGGAACAACCCTAAAAATATCCTTAAAAAATGTAACTACCGTATTTACATTCCACAGATTCTCGCTACATCTAACCCTGCCCGCTATGGAGTTCTCTGGAGGAGGTTTGATGAGATTTACGTAATCCTGGATATGTTATTGCAGCATCACTTCCTGTCCCGCACCAGCGCCTCATTTTCAGAGAACTTCTATGGCCTGAAGCGTGTGGGATCACATAGTGCCCGTGCTGCCCATTTGGGACTGCGGCGGAGGCAACACTGGCGCTCTTTACTCCTGCTGGCCCTCATTCCATACCTGCACACCAAACTGGAGAAAATCCTGGCGCGACAGAGAGACGAGGACGATTTCTCCATCCGCTTGCCGCAGTCCTTCCTGCAGAAGATGTACAGGGCGTTTTTGGCTGCGTATCCTTTCGTGTGCATGGCGTGGGACGGCTGGGTCTTCTGCCAACAGCTTTTGTACGTTTTCGGCAAAACACGGACACATTCTCCACTTCTGTGGCTTGCCGGGGTTAAACTGTCATATCTCACGGCTAATGACATACACAGTCTGGATCTCAAGCCTTCAGGCCCAGAATTGAGCTCCGGTCAAAGGTGAGTTTATTTAGTGCTTTAATTTGCAAACTATATTGCTGGGTTCATACAGCCATGGAAAACCTGGAAAAGTCATTTTGACATGGCATTTTCCAGAAAAGTGCTGAAAAATCAGGAAAAAAAACACTAAATTTAGGAAAAGTCATGGAATTCTGAGATGGCATTTCACAGAAAAGTTTTGGAAAATCAGTAAAACCCACAAAGTTTTGGAAAACTCATGTAAATATTTTTAACTAATATCTGTATATTGAATATAGGTTAGTTGTCTTCTTTTTCTGTCCCTGGGCAATCCCATACTCTAATATTCTTAGTGCTGCGTATACATTATCTATATAGAAAAATAAATGTAAACTAAATAGATTTTTGCCAGGGCAAGGTACTGTCTCGCAGCGCTCAACCTGAAAGTGAAAACTCTAGTGACCAGTTCATGAACTAGGGCCCTCACTGTTCTGGCACCCTAGGCAGCCACCTAGGTCACCTCCATGGACGCGCCGGCCCTAATTTTTGCATTTTGTTTGTTATGCTGTTATCAATTCGAACGTGCATTGTTTTTCTTATTATTTACCAAGTATACTTAAGACATTATATAAAACTTTAGGTCAAGACAATTTACTTGAAAGTCCATTAGAAAGAAATGAGACGTATTTATGTGTTCACGTCAAATTAAATTCTCAAGCGATTTTATATACATACAAAGCATATTAAAGTTTGACGTTTCAAATAACCGTTGTTGCAATAAAATGAAAAAATATTGTGGACATATTGTTCAGCTGTCATTCATCATAACATTTACACAAAAATTAAAAGATAAACTTATTTTGACCTGTACTTCTTAAAGCATGTAATATAATAAGTATGGCACAGTAAAGCCTGGTTTATACTTCTGCGTTAAGTGATCGGCGTGACCCATGGCGCATGCAACGCACGTAGCCATGCATTTATACTTCTGAGCGCTGTTTCTGTTGTTCTACAATAACACTTCCGATACACTAGTTGGCAGTGAAGTGTAAATGTTCCTCCGGTCGAGTCTCTTCGCTAGTGTTTTTTTTTAATGCTTCCTTAATGTACAAGTGGTTCAAACTCGCTCATTTTGAGGCAGGAACCGGCGGACGTGCAACAACTTTAACCATAAGGTAAACACAACAAAACTTTTCATCTGAAGCTCCTTCACGGGACTGGACACTTGTAAACAGTCGCTCCAACAGACTCACGCGGTTCTCGGTCCCACCCATACTCGTCAGTACTTCCAAGCTGACCAATCACAGAGCTTGCGCTATGCGCTGCTGCGACGTGTAGTTCGATTTTTTGAGAGGTGCAAAACAGCAACGCCGACAGCCACGGCGAGGGCTGTGCGTCCATGTGTAGGCTGCCCCATAGCATACGCATGTGCTTGACGCAGAAGTGTAAATCAGCCTTAAATTTTAATATATTTTAAATGATTAAAAACCTTTTCTTTGTGAGTATTTTTAGAGTATTTTAATATGTCATCTTGGTCCAAATTTGCAGGATTTTTTTGTCTATAAACTACTGTTACATTAAATAGCATTTAGTAGGTGCCCTCTGTAAATGAAGGTAAAAGTACACAAACTAGACACTCTAACCATTCACTTCCGCATTTGGAATGCCGATTTGATGGCTTTCATAGCAATTCTTTTAACCATGCCCCTCTTACCATTAGTTTGTTATGAGGGAATGATGTGCATAAAGAAAGCCCCGCCCCCTACTCAATATCTCACTTCAGTTGGAAGTACATTAACATGCTAAAGTCTCAGCAACTTCAGTTTCTCACAAGCATTAATTTATTTGATGCTTGAAATACATCCATTAATTAATAAATTAATCATTTTTAGTACCTTTACGTTTTTTTGCACATCAAAATATAAAGCTGTGTACTTAAACTAAATCCTATCCTGTTTGCAGCTTTGGAGAGAAATTACAGCGAGTGGTCTCGACGGCGGTCGGTGGTGTGGCGGTGTCTCTGTCCACCAGCTTGTCGATTGGCGTGTTTTTCCTGCAGTTCCTGGAATGGTGGTATTCGTCGGAAAACCAGAGCACCGTGAAGTCCTTGACCTCCCTCCCGACACCTCCTCCCCCCCTCCACCTTCACAGCCAGGAGACGTCTCACACACACATCAAAGTGTGTCCGATCTGCAGGAAAGTGCGCACCAATGACACCGCGCTGGCCACGTCCGGCTACGTGTTCTGTTACAGGTGTATATACGTGTACGTGAAAGCCAACCACAGGTGTCCCCTCACCGGCTACCCTTCAGAACTGCAGCACCTCATTAAAATATACACCCCTGACGGATAGACTGGTCATATTTCAAGATGCCCTTATGTGAATGCCCGAATTTATATAAATATTGCAAAGTGTTCAGATAACTGCTATTTCAAATGTGACCAAAATCTAAATCTGTAATGTGGTTTGAATAGACTACTAATTTATAAATAGTAATAAATTTGTACAGAAATCAATGTTGCTGACTCTTATTTAATGTAATGTGTGTATTTACAAAGTGTATTTATCGTGTATGGCCATACACCCAAGCGCTTTACTATCATGAGAGGGGGAGGTCTCCACACCACCACCAGTGTGCAGCATCCACTCGGATCATGCAACGGCAGCCACAGGACAACGGCACCAGTGCGCTCATCACACACCAGCTATTGACCTTATTCTAAAATGCGGAAGTGCGCCTGTTTTCGCGATTGTCTTAGAACTTCCGATTCTGTCACCTATGGGAGAAATGACTAGGAATAATAAACGGCAGAAAATGGCCAAACTACTTGCTCAACAAACAAATGTTTGCATGACTATACAGACCAAGTAGCATAATATAATAAGAAAATATTAAATTGCAACATCAACCAGCGTAACGAGCAGTTGTTAACGTCAAAAAATGAATGGAAGTGAATGTGACCGGAAGTCGCGAGACAAAAAGATTCAAATGGCAGCGCTCACTCGACAGCTGAGAATAAGGTGAATAGGGGAAGCGGAGAGACAGTGATAGAGCCAATTCAGCGGATGGGGATGACTGGGAGGCCATGATAGTTAAGGGCCGATGAAGGGAGTTTGGTCAGGACACCGGGGTTAAACCCAGGGGCGGATTTAGTGATTTTAAGTAATTCCAGACATGGGGCCCAAAAGTTTGTACTTTAATTTTATCTTGATTGATCTATTTTGCTTTTGTTTCGTAAATTACTCGTATATCTCCTTTTCTATATATATATTTTTAAGACTTATTTTTGGCCTTTTTTAGATAGGACAGTATTGAGACAGGAAACAAAGTGGGGGGGAAAGAGAGAGAGAGGGGGGTAGGGTAGGGAACTGTCGTCGAGCCGGGATTCGAACTCACGTCGCTCTGATGTGCTATTGCACCATATGTCGGCGCGCTAACCACTAGGTTATTGCGCCAATTCTATATTTTGTCTTAATGCAAAATAATAACATCTGACGAAACTTTTTAAATGTTTTACACCGTTCCATTCAATTTAAATGGCTTAATTAATTTATATAGAGAACATTTTTATATCGCATGCAAGAGTTAATGCTGGATTTACAGTGTCTACCATCTGTCACAGCTTGTTACAGTACAGCAAGTGTGTGGAGCAGATCAACATACAAGCCAAGACCTCACTGACTGATACATGGCGTATGAAATCATTGTTTAGTTTCTTTATATGGGCTGCTCATGAAGAATACGGTTTTAAATTCAACCATGCTATTGTTAAACATGGTAGAAAAACTTTACTTTGTGTCTTATTAAATGAATGAGACACTCCATGACCTTGAAGACTTTTTTTTTTTTTTTTTTTTTGGTCCTTCACGCTGTTGACCAATAGGAGTACAGAAGTTCTTCAGCACACAGCTTTCAATTACAGCGAAATGAGAGATGACAGAGCTGTGATTAAAGATGGAAATAATGGGAGAAGGGAAGACCATTATAAAAAGTCCCTCTCTCCCTCTGTATGTCTTGCTCTAAATCAAAAAGACTTAATGTGAGTAGAGCTGCATGATATTGGAAAACTTGCATTGTGATATTTAGCTATATATTGTAATATAAAACTTCACCAGTTATTTTGAATAGCTCTAGTTGGAAAGAATCATTTTATATTGTTTGGGGTGGTTTTGTTGAGGAGTGCATAAAATATAATAAAATTACCAGCATAGATAAATACAGTAGAGCAAACAAAGCATATCAGTATTCAGGGATAAATAAAATAATCAAAATGTCCAATAACGCTGTGTACAGTCTTAGTGGTATATATTTTATACAATAAATCTTTGTTAAATCTACAATTGTAAGAATGTGCACAAATGTTTTAAATTCACTTAAAATCTTGATTTACAGGCCTTAAAAACACATGCCACTGATAATTTCTTTATTTAGGTTAAACTGAAAAGACTTCATGTGTTCTGAACTGTTTTACCAGATCAACTCCACATTCTGTTATGTGGCTATTGTGGATTCTCACATTACAATATTGATGCTGAAATTATACATTGTGCCATTTCTGAAACAAAAAGGCTGATTATTTGTTCCAAGAATTAAAATTATTAATTTATTATTACATTAATTGGCTAAATTACATTTTACACATATGCTTGAAAATTTACACCTTTATATTAAAGCTTCAGTTTACTTTTTTAGTAAAGAAAAAAAAAAGTCATATTTAGTTGATTTATGCAATTTAAAATGCATAGATTGGAGTCAAAAACATGTGAATTTAAGACATATTAGAGACTGACAGTGTCAATCTATTCTTAAAATTGCATTGTTAAAATTTAGCATCTTAAAAAATAATAATAAAAATAATTAAAAAAAATAAAATAAAAAAAAAATCACAAAAAGGTTAAGCAGTTGCAATATTTTGCAAGAGACAATAGGTGAAAGGTGCTATAAAATAACTTTTACCTTACTTGGGTGTATACTAGCTAACATAAAATGGGAAACAGTCAAATTCTTTGTGAATGGCCTGAAAAACCTCAGCATGAAAATGTGGAGTTTGTGAAATTTACGTTCTTTATTTTGGCACATTTTAAGTTTGCAGTTTACCCACCTAAAAGTGGTCACCATTTCATCAGTTACATGGTTTTTAGTCAAGCAATTTGGCAAAACAGCGTTACAGGACATTAAGCGCCCTTTACCGACCCTTATAAGAGTGTTTAAAAATGGAGCATTGATACTCCCCATCTAAAAATAGAGCCATGGAATTTTCCCAGACCCATGAGAGTCTGAGTTTACCACTCCCCAAAATCTTCCAGAAAGACCTCTGCATAATCCACAACTTGTGCCACTAGGGAAAAAGTCCTCACTGTAAAATAAAGAATATACATGTTCAGTGATAGACAGACCATCTTTGCTTCATTTTGAGGTTTCAGCAATGCTAAACAGCACTTAGATCAAACTTCTTTAAACTTCATCTGTTAGCAGCTCAGAGAGAAGATTAAACCTCAATCAAACCTTGGTCAATGATGCCAAAAAGCAACAATACCAAGTCAAGATGCATTCTTTCACTCATCATTGCAGCTAAACTCTGCTACATAAGAAACATCTGCAGAATCAGCCTGCTGGCTGTTAAACATCTTACATTTTGAAAGTAGCTGAAAAGCATTTTAGCCAAAATCTGAATACAGACCTGCTGGAGGAGAAAAAAAAAAAAAAACACAACAACAGCATAAGATTTTGATGCTGGTCTTGCTGGTTTCAGTGCTGATCCTAACTAACAAAGACCAGCAAAAAGAGCATAAGAACAACATAGGCCTACCTTACCAGCATGTTGGGGGTTTTTTTTCAGCAAGAATGGAAGATACTAAAGGATGGCATCATGAAACACAAGAAACTACTATATATGGTTAACTATAAAAGGTTTAACTAGTTATACCTTTAGTAATAAATAAGCCATTTCCTTCAAACATACAGTTAATTTTAACAAATAAAGGAACCAAATGCCTTAAGGTTACATCAGCCATTTCTAACAACGTAAAGACAAGAGCCAAATAAAAACTTGCATATTTTGCAGATTACTGGTGCTATAAAATTAATGTTGTATTAATTAGGAACCAAAATATCATGTTTCATACTCAAGTTACGAAGTTCTCCTCTTTACGATTTAGTAACATGTCTCCCCTCCTCCCCCTTTCCCTTATAGTCTAGAGCAGGGATGTCAAACTCAATTCCTCGAGGGCCGAAGCCCTGCACAGTTTAGTTTCAACCCTGCTCCAACACACTAACCTGTGGGTTTCAAACAAGCCTGAAGCACTTAATTAGTTTGATCAGGTGTGTTTAATTAGGGTTGGAACTAAACTGTGCAGGGCTGCGGCCCTCTAGGAATTGAGTTTGACATCCCTGGTCTAGAGAGAAGCACGCTTTCAGTAGCTGTCGAGTGTAATGGCCGCACGTACGAGTAGGCTAGTTGACGAAATCAGCTTAAGTGAAAACGCTCTAAAGCTAGCCTGTTATCATGATTTTGGCATTATCGAAAGGCTAAAATAGTCTTTGGTTCTATTTTCCCTTCAAATGTGACTATTTTATAAAAATAAACAAATAGAAGTTAATAAATGATTGAGAAGTTACATTGGAATATGTTCAGCCGTTTTTTCTTATTCTTTTGTTGTCGTCGTCGTCGTCGTCAAAAAAAAAACCGTATCAGTCGCTCTGAAAGAAGTTTCCCTGCAACACCGTCAAAACTGCTTTTATTTGTTGAGTCATTGAACGATTAAATGACGTTCGTGAAGTGATTACGCTTTACAACACACCTGTTCACACTTCATCATCATTAGCCTGTGCAGGGAGCAGCTTCACCTCAATTACCGATGAAGCCTGAGGGATTCATCATTTTAGACAACTAATTACTGTCACAAAGGTATTTCTATAGTGACAATTAATTATATATTCCATCTAAGTCAGTAAATGCAGACTTAAATATTCCATAAGACAAATTGTGTGTGGCTGTATGACGGAGAAAGGGATAGACTTATTTTGTTTCACATATTCTTAAATTTGCACTTAATTGCACGTGTGTATGTGTGTGTGAGAGAGAGAGTATGTGTACATTTTGAGCGCTTGATATTTCAGTGCCTCATTGTTGCACACTTTTGTTCTGATTTACCACAAAACCATATGATTTCTCATTTATTTGTTTTTCTCGTGTTTCTTCATTTTTTTGACAGCAAATGACCCAACTGTGACTTTTTTGACCCTCTAACATTCAAATCATGTTCAGAATTTTTAATAGTGTGAAAAAAAGTCACCAAGAGTCATCCCATGATGATTAAAGAAAAACAGTTTTTGCATTATAACCAGACACTTGCTTTAATCTCATTTCCAGTGGCTTCCTCAGGCAGCGAGTGGCCTCATGGACAGCAGCTTCAGTTCACGTGTTCCTGCCAATCACAGCTGTGAAATCTGACCACTCACATGCTGACAGTGAACAACAGATACTAATAACCAGGATCAGTCTAATGCAGCTCT